CTTTAAAGAAAAAGGAAAAACTCAACACATGAACTCGACACATGGAGATCAATGTGGCAATTTTTCTTTCACAATTAATTTTGGACCATTTCTATTGTTCTGTTCGTCATGACATTTAAACACAATGCAAAGAGTGACTTCACTTACCATCATTAACTCCACATATAACAGCTCAGAAGATTTGTGTAGGTTCTCTAGTAGTTTTGGACTGTAAATAAAGTGGCTATATTTGTGCTGTACACATGGGAACCCTGGTTCCCATCACCATCGCTGTACAGAAAGTCGGCAAGTTTCTCTACAACAGCAGTGTCTAAAGTCCAGCCCCAAGGCCAAATGCAGCCTGTGGCTTTTGTTTTAGAGAGGCCCGCCAACCAAAATGTGGTTTCAGGGAACTTGTAGAAGAACTTGTAGAACTTAGGAGAATTACCAATCTGCAATGTCTTCCACATGTCTCAAATGCTATAAGGCGCTCTCAGGCGAGTCCAAAATGAATTGGTTAAGATGGAGCATATGAGCAAAGTCATAGTTCACAAATGCTTAAACATTTTTAATGTAAAAGAATCCAATCATTTCCTGAGCACAAAACAGCATAAAACATTTTGACACTGCTGTTATATTTTTAAGTTTTAAAGAGTTGTAGGAGTTTAAACCGGTGCCTCATGTCCGTTCATGACGTCAGTGAGCACGAAAAGCCAATGAGCTGCTCCACTCGCCAACCAATCAGCTCTCAGTAGCAGTAATGTTAGCATCCTGCTGCTCAAAACCCGTTTGCTGTAGAAAAAAGGAAGCATACAGGTAGCACAAACCTAAAGCCTAAAGCACAAACTTAACATTGAGAACTGGCAATTTTGGCAAAATGGAAATTTGAACACATTTTTCATTGAGAGACACAGCAAATGTGTGCGCCTCATATTTCAAAAGACTGTAATGAATTTAATACCAATAAACAAAAAACAAAACATGAACATCACAATAAATATTCAGGAGAGAAAGTAAAGCAGCTGCAGCTACCAGAGTCTCACAGCACCAACTACTGATCAGAGCAAATCCAGAGGTTTGGTAAATATTAACCCTTTAAGGTTGAACAAAAATGTGGCTATTATTCTGTTTCATCTGCTCATTTATTTGATTATGTAAGGAACAATTACAGATTTTTGTCTAGTTTGTCTCACAAACAAGTTAACACTTCAATAGGAATATGCTTAATACATTAGACATGTTTTACTGTTACTCTTGAACAACTTAACTGTCATGAGCACTTAGCAATCCAAACAGCCTCGTGCATCTTTTATACAGGGATAGGAAACACAATGGCACACAGAAAGCTCTGATTCCACATGCTGATGTTTTAAAAACGTAATATTTTCAATAATTTCGAAATAATCTTTCAGCCCTCAGGTGTTTTGACAGTTCAATCTGGCCCTTTTAAAAAAACTGGACACTGCTGCTGTATAATGAACCATTTCAAACCTCTCTGAATGACTTTGCTCACATCTCAGTGATCGAATTATGCAAAAATGTTGAAAAATGAGAAGAATTCCCTATTAAAGCGTCCATAAGGAACAGCTGGATTTGCCAGGAGAGTAGTACGTTCACTGTTAACGCTACTCCAGTAGTGCTCTCAAGCTCCGGCTTTTCATTTCAGTGGATATTCGTGGCGTGGTTTGAAAGGCTTTCCTGAGTGGGACTCTAAATAACCTGCATAGCAGCTCTCCAGAGTAATGAAACGTCTTCAGGTTTAAGCCTTTCCTCTTTGATTATCCATACAGGAGCTTTAAAGGCCTCAAGGTCGTGCCCTCTATGAAACAATCAATAAACCGTGACCTACACTCACTAATACTGCAGTCTGCAGGGCTGCAGTGAACTGTATAGCACTCAATAGGAATACAAATGTAAATAAAGGCGCTGAGTAAGCATCTGTTCAGCTAACGATCACGTTATTCCAATTAAAGCACAAAGAAAAGCTGCATTGTAAATGAACTGGACTGACTTAGGGCTCGTCGAGTGCAGCAGGGCTGTAAGATTACATTTAGAGATTGAACAGTAAAAAGGCAATTGTATTGTTCACGACTGACTTGCTGTCAGTTTTGAGTAGCGGAGATCAGGTGTATGTTTATTACACTCAGGGGGAGCTGGGGGGAGTCCTCAGCCCTCTTCCCCTGCTCATAGACCACCATTCATATCAGATAAAGAGGCACCGGCGCCCTCTGCTGTCTGAAAAGGGATTTGCGCTTGGCCGCGTGGAGGAAGCAGCACAGCAGTGACGTAGCCTGAGGTTGAACTCAGCTTTGTGGATTTCATAGAGGAAAGAAAAAGTTCCCTTTCTCAGTTTACAAATGAGGAAATTCACACTTTGCATTTACTTTCAACTTTTACTTTTGTTTTCTATCAATTTCTCTAAATAATAAACATAAAAAATAATTAGCCATCAGTGAAGTAAAAATGCTTATGATTTTCTGTTTCGCTATGAATCAATAAATCCATCTATCAAATGATCATAAAGAAATTTTTGTCCATAAACGCAGAATGAATTGCATTTCCATTTTTTTTCTGTAATTATTACAATTGCAATATAAATTACCATAATGGCTGTATGTATATAAAAAATTTAACAAAACTACTGTAAATACATAATGAAAATAACCATTTAAACAATTATAAAATGATAATAATTAAAGGGGCTTTTAAAGGGGAATTCCATCAATTTTTCACAATTTCTGCATAAACAGTCATTTGAAATGCTTCATATTAGAGAAACTTACTGACTTTCAGGGGTTGCCATGTCTACATCACAAATACATCCGTTTTATTTTACTACCCAAAACCACATAAAATATGGTTAATATTTTTAGTTGATATATTCTATTATTTTAACTGTATCATGATGACAGAAAACAGACCATGTAGAAAGAGTACAAAAAACAAGAGAAAAATAAACAAACAAACAACAGAGACACAGAAATGTAAAACAGTGCTAAATCTGATCACACATGTTTTCATTAGGGACTACTTTGTTAGTAAGTATCCCTCCGCTATGAACAGACTTTAAATAATGTTATACAGAACGATCATTAACCAGTGTCTCAGACATCAGACAGCAAATTCATAACCATTTAATGTAGTAACTTTCTGTGAGGGAGCTTTTAGAGGTGGACGTCTGGTTCCCATCACCACCACTGTGAACACTTCTGACTTGGTAGGTTTGTCTAGGACAGAGCGTTTCACACCAAACCACTCTGAATGACCTAATTTACATACAAATCCACTTAATTATGCAGAAAAAAAGGAAAACTCACTGAAATCCTTCTTTAAAGGGCATAAATAGATGCTGCACTTCCAATTTAAATAGATTTTTTTGGAACAGAGGAAGGTTTTTTGTGATTTGCAGATAAAAAAATAATAAACGACAGATTCTAGAGTGTATTAATAAAACCTCTTTCATAGTGAAATGATAGTAAAATAAAACACTGTTACTCATTCAGAGAGGAGCGTGAGGTCAGCAGCTCAGTTTTCCCATTTTAGACACTGTGAGTGCAAACTAGCTGAGAGCCATGCTCTCTCTCTCTCTCTCGCCTTCGGCCCAATGAGACCAGACTAAAAGCCTACTGGACCCAGGAGACAAATACAGTGGATGGTGCATTAAGCCTGACAGTTACAAACTGCTGCTTTAACAAACACTTCAAACATGATTAAATAGTCTGAGGAGCATCTACAGCGACGAACCACACGTAATGATTTACATAACCTGGACCTCCTCCAAAGAGAAGAGCACCTGTCTGTGTTTCCTTAAGTGTCTGCTTAAATATCTGTGTAGAGAGAGAGAGTAAGAGAGAGAGAGAGAGACAGAGAGAGATAATACACCTTAGTTAGTTTGAACTGTGGACAACTGATTTAAAGGGGAAGTCCACCCGTCTTTCAGATTTTCAATATAATTGAATCACTGAGATGTAAATAAAGTCATCCAGAGTGGTTTGGTGTGAAATGCTCTGTTCTAGAGAAACTTACAGACTCACGATTGTTCACAGTGGTGGTGATAGGAACCAGACATTAATAGCATTACATGAAATGGTTATGAATTCGCTGCCTGATGTCAAAGAAATTGTTTTATGATAGTTTTCGAGAGAAGATTTTGGCCTAAAACAAAATTTAACAATCATTTTATGGCGAAAAGCTACATGTAGGGTGTGCTAAGGCAAAATAGTCCATAGTAAAAACATTTTTTATTTAATTTACCACAACTTTACTATCACCAACACAAACTCAGAGCTCAGTAGGTTCACTGGTGGTTTTGGATAGTATTTAAAATGGCTATATTTGTGTTGTAGTCATTCAATCAAAGAGTTCCCCTTTTAGTTCTGTAATGAGTGGTATCCAGTGGACAGATCATAAACTTTTAAAATAAAAATCCTCGTATCTCCATTTTTGCCGTTTCTCAGTTTTTACATAATTTCAAAATGTTAAAAATGTTTGTTGTTCTTTACATTGTGTGTAAATTTCATTAAGAATGGACCAAAAGAAATGGATCAAAATGATGTGGCAAAAATTCTGGAGATATGAGGTTTTCTTCTGACAACAGCGATGCATACACACACACACACACACACACACACATATATATACAGATATATATACATACATATATATATATATATATATATATATATATACACATATATACATATATATATATACACATACACACACACACACACATATATATGTGTGTGTATGTGTGTGATCAGTTGGTTTCATTTTAGGCTACATTTGTAAATTCAAGTTCATAAACTCATTCAGCTCCTAAAAACGCGAAATAAAAGCAGAGCCGATTCCTCAGCTAACTGCAGCAGTGTGTAATGCTGTTTAAAACGCGCTCCTTTAAAATGTTGAGAGTTTTAATGGTGAAATGTGAGTTAAACGCTGCGAGTCGGTTTCTCCTGTTTTGTTTACACACTGAATTCAGGTGCATTGTGGGAGAGCCATAGTGATTGACTGGCGTGGCGGCCATTTTGCCGCTGGCCGCTGGGCTCCCATTGTGTGAGTGAGATAGTAAACAGAGAGCGGCAGGCAGAGCTGCTCACCCTTCCGCGCCGAAAACCAAACGCATCCGCCGCAGGTAAGCGCGCCGCAGCCTCGCCGTTTTATCCCTAAAACACTTTTCCGCCGCTTTGTCGAACTTTTAGGCGAAACGGGCGCTTTTTGGGCGAGAAAAACGCGTCGAAAATTCGGGGTCGTCGTGTTGAAAATGAGCGCCGAGCGGCCGGAGCGGCTCCGTTGCTTCTCTTCGGAGGAGGTAGAGAAAAAACCCCACTTCGTTTTCTCCTCGTGATGCGCGTTTTCGCCTCGGTTTTACGGCGCTGATTCGCGGCGGGAAACCCGGCTGCCCGGCTCCTCCGTCGCCCGAGAGTGTCTGCTCGCCGGCCGGGAGGGTTTTGAGCCGCTTCGCGTTGAGGTTTTCGTGTTTTATTGTGAAGTTCCCGTCCTCTCCGCTTCTTCCCCGCTACAGTTGCTTTTCAAATTGCGGCCATAATCTTGCGGTTTAGGGCGGCGCCAACCGGCGCTGCCCCGCCCACACGACGGTTGCAGGAGACCATGATTGGCTGAAATCCTCGTCTCCTGATCAGCCATTGGTTGTTGCTCTCGATGACGCTATGCGCACCCCCGTTGTTGGCTGAAAGGCGCTCTCGGCGAGCGCTGATTGGTTTCGTTTCATTTATTGTTTTTTCTCCTCCTTTTTTCCCTCGTGTTGCCTGAAATAGCATGTGGGGCAGAGCGAGTCACTTAGGGTTATACTTTACATCAGGACTTTCACTCCGAAATGCTGGATACAGTTTTTTAAAGCAGTTTTGGATGTTAAGCGGTTTGTAAAAGATAACAGATGACGTTTAACACACTTTGTGAAGAATACACATCAATGCATAAGCTGGGAAAAATGGAAAAATCTTGAAAATAAAATATAGCCATGTTAAACTATAGAATTTAGCGATTGTTTAGATGATTTTTTTGAAGCTTTTTGGAACAAAAATGCAATGTGTAATCTAATAATATACTGTTAATGAAATGTACAGCATAATTTTGATATATTGGTGATGGCATGTTTAATAATTTTTGAGAGCATTGCAATAATAAATCGATACTATTAGGAAAGGAATTCAAATTTTCATTATTTCTCTAATAAGGTGAAATAATTATTTATAACTGAACATTTTGATGAAAATTCACACAGTAATTTGTCCTCTGTTTCCTTTCCGCAGGTGATTGAGTAACTATGGCCCGTACTAAGCAAACCGCCCGTAAGTCGACAGGAGGTAAAGCTCCTCGCAAGCAGCTGGCCACTAAAGCTGCCCGCAAGAGTGCGCCCTCTACTGGAGGAGTGAAGAAGCCTCATCGCTACAGGTGACAGACTGAACAGATTTACAGGCTCAGTCTGTGCAGAAAAGAGTTTTACTTTAGAAATATGTGTTCTTCACACAGGAGCACTCAGATTACAGTATAAAGCACAGTAAATATATGAATAAGTAAATAATAGTGGATTGTTTATGTATTAACATATGTAGGAGTGTAAATCCTGACATCACAATTTGATTCCAGTTCCTTAATAAGCAGTTCAGTCCATCGTGGTCTTAAATTTGACCATGACTGAATAATTTATGTACAGTTTAAAACATCAAGGGAAACTGTTTAAACAAAAGCAGCACTTTTACTTTGTTTTTCTATCCTTATGGTTGAAAAATTCTTATTTAAATGAGTGAATACTTTTTGAATACTATTGCAGTTGGTTCTATAATTGATTTTAACAGTTCAAAATCCGTGCAGTTGAAGATCCTTCACATTTATTTATACTGTACTGTGCGCTATACAGGTAGTGTGTACGTCTGTGTAAGTGATTCGTGTTGTTTGTGTGTCCAGGCCCGGTACCGTGGCTCTGCGTGAGATCCGTCGATACCAGAAGTCCACTGAGCTGCTGATCCGTAAGCTGCCGTTCCAGCGTCTGGTCAGAGAGATCGCTCAGGACTTCAAAACGGACCTGCGCTTCCAGAGCGCCGCCATTGGGGCTCTGCAGGTGGGTTTGTGAGAGAAAGAATGAGGTGGCTTTTCATTTCAGTATGGACTGAAATCAGTATTTGGGGCCGTGTTACAGAAACACCCGACTCTAAGATCTTATCTGTCTGGTCACTATGACGAGTTCAGTTAAGGGTAGTCTTAAGTCAGAAGCTATTACAGAATAGCATTTCCTTACTTCACTATCTGATCTTAACTCCAGAGGAGAAAAGGAACTACAGAAGCATCCTCCTCACTTTAGGAGAACCTCAGTGGTGTCCTTACTTGAGTTTTGAGCTGCAGTTTCTGCTGCTGAATAGTGAAGGTTTTTAGGCAGCTAGTAGTTCAATAAGTTCACCACGTTAGCATTAACTAACATGATGTGCTGCCTGACGTGGCAAACATTGTCCTCAGTGTCCCCTCATTACATGCATCTGTTAATGTTGAGGAAAAATTTGCAGTTTTTCTCACTTGTTTTTCCTTTTTTTTGTGTACGTTATTTCGATTAGCTATTTTCACCTTCACTTTATCATCTTTTATTTGGTAACAGACATAACAATTAAACATCAACCTCCGTTTGGTTTTCCTAACATGATATGAAATCTTGAGCTCCTCAGATTCTAACTTGGGACTAAAGACAGGAACATTCTGTAATTCTGCTCCTGGTCTGTTGTGTTTTTAATGACTTTTTAATTATTTTATGTAATGTTAATTGGTATTTAATATTAATTATTTGATATTAATTCATTAGTTTTTGGGTTTAACAATGTTGTAGCACAGTCGTATATATCGCTGCTGTCGGAACAAAACCTTGTATCTCCAAAAATATAACTTTACAGGAGAAGGAAAAACATGCTTTGCTTTTAATGGAAGTAAATGGAGAAATATTATTTTCCCAAGTAATTTTGAATCATTTCTGTTGGTCGATTCATCTTGAAATTTTAACACGACATTAAGGGCAACTGACCTTTTCAAACAATGTCAAAAATGAAAAATGACAAAAAGGGAGCAAAACACACACACACACACTTTTTTAATGTGTTTTAAAAGCCACGTGAGAGCCCTGCAGTATTATTGTTATCTTGTAGTTAATTTTATTTAGGTTACTATTTTCTCTTTATTTCTTTATTTCGGTTATTTATTTTCTCTTTTGTTTCTTCTGTTTCTCCTTTTTTCCTGTTTTTTTGTGTTTCATTTATAAATAAGGTTTATAATTATTTTTTGTGTAGTTTTTTAATTATTATAATTTAACATGTGTGTATTTATGTGTGTGTGTAGGAGGCCAGCGAGGCGTACCTGGTGGGTCTTTTCGAGGACACCAACTTGTGTGCCATCCATGCCAAGCGTGTCACCATCATGCCCAAAGACATCCAGCTGGCCCGCCGTATCCGTGGAGAGCGTGCTTAGGCTCTCCTCTTCCTGCTCCTTCCCCTCTTTTTCGCATTCTCTCTCTCTCTCTCTCTCTCTCTCTCTCTCTCTCTCTCTCTCTCTCACTCTCTCTCTCTCTCTCTCTTTTTCCCTCTCCACTCGTCTCCTCCCTCTTTCTTGGTAGAGTTTAGAGTATCAGCGACGGGGAGGCCAATGTGTTTCAGTCTATTAGTGCTGTCTCACTGAAGCGTAGGGTACCTGTATGTGCATGTAACAGATGCTGCTGATCACTCGCCCACACACACACACACACACATACATATATACACACACACATCCACGCAACACACATTCTGGCGCACGCACGCTGAACTCATGTATACGTACACACAGTTGGAGCATAAACGAGGTCCACCCTTGCCAAGCTTGGGGTCTTTCACAGACGTTTACGTACACGCATATGCACATGCACGTGCACACACAGGGAGGTCAGAGGGGTGGTGTCTGGGGTTAGTCTGCTTAAGGGGAGCGGCAACTTCCACAGCAGGGTGCTACTAAAACTGCCCCAGGCCACCTTTACCTACCCTGTACCTGTACATCTGTATCCGCACACCTGAACCTTCTTGCCTGTACCTACTTACTTTTGCTTGTGTACTTGTACTTTCATACCTGTACCTACTTATCTATACTTAGATGTCTGTTCATCTATACGTGTATATCTGTTCACCTGTACCTATGTATTTGTACCTCAGTACGTGCTGACCTGTACCTTCATACCTGTACCTGCTGACCTGTACCTTCATACCTGTACCTGCTGATCTGTACCTTCAGACCTGTACCTTCATACCTGTACCTGCTGACCTGTACCTTCATACCTGTGTCTGTTGACCTCTACTTACCCATAACCTGTACCTTCGTACTTGTACCTTCATACCTGTACCTTCGTAGCTGTACCTACTCACCTGTACTTTCATACTTGTGTTTATAGACCTCTACTTACCAATAATCTGAACCTACTTACCTGTATTTACTCACTTGTACCTACTCACCTGTACCTTCGTACCTGTACCTACTCACCTGTGTCTGTAGACCTACTTACCAATAACCTGTACCTCCATATCTGTACTTATACACGTATACCTCCACACCTTTCTTCACCCAACCCTGTGTACCTGTCCATTCCTCATACACCTGTTCTTTCCTGTCCACCCATGTCCCATGTCTGTCCACCTCTTGGCAGATTTGTGTGTGTGTGTACGTGCAGGTCCATTTCCCCCCGTGTGTGCGAGTGGGTGACGTGATCAGCAAAGCAGAATCGTATTCAACTGCAAACCAGCATCTATTGGTTAAAAGTTGTTATAATATTGATGATTACTATTATTGTTGATATGGTGTCTTTTTTTTCTATGATGCATACACATGACTTGTTTTACCACTGTTAGGATAAAAAAGAGCAAAACTAAAGAAAATTTGAATTTGTTTCTTTGTTTTTTGTTTTTTTTATCGTAGTGATTGCCGATCCTGCTCCTCCTGTTAAAACTTCAGGCAGCCACAGGGGGGCGCTCTAAACCAGCCTCTCATTCACTCTCACTGTTCTTCAGACATCCCTCCTCCTCCTTCTCGCTTTTCTCTTCCTTTCTCTTTCTCTCTCCCCCCCCTCACCCTTTTTTTTTTCTTCCACAGATCGGCATTCGTCACGAATTGTAGCAAAAAAAAAATCGCCACGTTTAGTTTTCGGAGTGTTTCACTCTCTTTGTGTAGACCTTTTTGCTCCTCTCTCTCTTTCGCGCTCTCTCGTTGTGATACACAGTATAACCTCATGTTTCTGTTTATTTTTCTTATTCAGAAATCTAAATAAGCTGATCTTTGTATTTTCCAAATTTCTCATACTATGGTGGTAATAAATAGATGTTACACAACGTGTTTGTTGCCGGCTGTGATTTTTGTCTTTGACACTCGTAAGCAGTTACTACACACTCAGCATAATGAAAGATTTTATAAACTTAATTCAGTAATGATTCTGTTTTACAAACATAGTAAAATCAACACATGCAGATTTTATCTCAGCATTAAATTCAGTTGCTGAAGAAAATTGAAATGTTTCAGTTTGATTTACTTGGCTTTCATTCTTTGGGATGGAATAGATTTAATTCACGGAAATGTACTTTTATTAGTTCATTTCCATTTTAAGTAAGTCATTAATATTAAGACAACACTTTTATAATAATTCCCTTTTTCAGGCCTTTTATTTTTGGAAATGTGTTGCTAATTTCTAATCCATTGATGTTTTATATTTCAGACCTTTGCTGCCTTTGAGTTCGTCAAAGCACAAATTTGAAGAAATGTTTCCAATTATTCAAACCATGTGGCAAAAAAAGTGTTTTGAATCACTTAATTTGTCATGTTTGGTCATCAGGAGCTACTGATTTTGAATAAAATAAACCCTGATTTTGTTGTGAATAAAAGCAAGAAAATTATACATTAAAAAATCTGCCACTGTTGGTTGTTCATCAAAGGTATAATTATACAAATTGCATTACTTTAAACCAATTACAACACCTTATGTAGTTATGTAGAGATGTAAGATGGTTCTATATAGCACCAAAAATGTTTTTTCCATTGTTACGAAGTCAAGCTTATAAGAATAGAAGAACCTGTTTTGGTGCTATATGGAACCCTTTTCAAAAGGTTCTATATAGAACCAATTACAGCACATTCTCCATTAATCTGAAGAACCATTTCATGATGCAAGGAACTATTAAATCTAGGCTTGTTTGAGTAGAGATATAAAAGGTTGCCAAAAACCATGGATGTCTATAATTGCTGTGCAAATCATTGCCGAAGGTAAAATGTAGCAGATGATTGTTTTTCAGTTATGAGCTTCACCGAGTTATGATGGCGTTCCCATTCAAAATATTAAGCGCCAGCTGTTTAGAGTACACAATGAAGTGCATCTTGGGAAATTCATACTTGCTAAAAAAGTTTTACAGAACAATATAATAAAGACAAAACTGTGTGAATGATTCAGTTGCCCATGCATTTTTAATAAACATTAACAGATTGTTGCCATCAGGCCCCAGTTTATGGACACTTAAGGGAACAATGTATACATTTAGGATAAGAAGACATGCAGCGAAACTGATTCATATAAAAGAATCACTGAAGTTTATTATATAATTAGGCTAATTAAACATAAAGGCTCATAAATCTTAATCTACATGTCAGTCCAGACAATACAGTCACCAGATATACATGACCCATTTATCATTTATTAGACTTTTATATTAATCAGTATATAATTTTCATGAAACATCAAGCAGTCCTTAAAACCAGTTATATATACTCTATGTGTTCACATGCATGAATGGTTTATAACTTTTGAATTATTTGGAATTTAAACTAGCAACAAGTCCACAGCTTAACTACTGCAAAAAATATTAATCAAGCAAAAATGCATGGATGCTACTGTTGATATAACAGAAAGTGTTCATTTGGAGAGTAGTTTCAACATCACTTGAATCATCTGCACCTTCTTCTCCTCAGTCTCTGCGTAGATTCCTGGATTTCAGCCACTCAATGAAATCTACAGACAGTAAAGGACAACTCTCACATACATTAATTGCATTCTTTAAGTTAGAAGGGCTTTTCTGTGAGAAACCTACTGAACTTTTGCCCCATTCGGTTTCAAAGCAAACAAGCCCAAGACTACTTGGTACTACTAAGTAAAGTGTTCGTTTCCATTTCAATGCCAGTGTGTTCTTTTAAATGTCTTAAATAGAAACGTAGATTTTGTTACGCCAAAAAAAGTGATGTTTTTTGTTATCCTCGCCTTTTCTCCTTTGTCAAAACGACTTAGACTTCCCAAATTAATAACACTATAATGTGGGTTTTTGTTGGAGCACAAACAGCTTTTGAAGTGAAAAAAAAGGGCATACAATGTGATTTTGAGCATGAAACTCCAGAACTAAGCAGATCCCAGAGTAGAGCCCTGAGGAACCTCCCCATCCAGAGGCACTAAGTACAACAATGCAGTCAGGTTTTTCTGATTAATGATCCCTAAAATTTAGTATTTTTAAAATAAAAACTCAATAAAAATATTCAGACAAAATGTTAAAGAATTATTCTCTCTCAATTTGGGTCCATCTGTAGGCTTTCTGTTGCTGCACAATTGAAGCCCCTTCTTTCCCATTCATCTTTGGTCAGTTTCTGACCATACAATTGCTGTTGACCAGATATTAGCCATGCCTCAAAGGAATGCTGCACAGGGGAGTTGCTGGGGTTTTATTCACTTTAGTGTCAAATGTTGAGCCAAGAGTGACTCTGTGGTCCTGACGAAGAAGTAGAGGATGGCTAACACAAGCAGTACGGTTTCACATGCTGTACTGTGCTTTAATTAATAACTTACCTCGATGTGCTTTTCCTACATCGCGTGTGGTTGTTTCAGGACGTTGTGTGGTCGTTTCTGTGAGAGAAAAAAAGAGAAAGAATGCATGAAGTTCATTACTTTTTCAAATTAGTCAGTGATGAAGGAACAGTGGATGGCTAGAGGATGTCTGTATACCAGCAAGGTGAAGCTATAAGAGAGGGGTTTCTGATCAATTAGCCAATAAGTGTACACCCATACTACCAAATGCACCCATACTACCAAATGCACCCATACTACCAAAGCTACACCGTTCCATTCTCTTTTTCTATGCCCTCACCGACTTCGACTCACCACCTGCATTACACAAGTGGGCACTCACGTGGAGGTGCGGAGGGGCCAGAGCAAAGTAGATTAGTGAAACTGACTCGGCTGGGTTGGCTTCAGTGAGCTAACTAAACCATGCAAACTTAGTGATGCAAATGTTTTGCGAAGTTGTACATAAACTGAACATACATTTGGTGAATAATTGTTTGGTATAACATTTAGTTTTAAACTGCGCCATAGTGCCCTTATTTTTGTTGTTGTTATCTGGGTAGCCTTTAGCATGCCAACTAGCAAGCTAGCAGAGTAGACCTGTCTAGGAGAAGTACCTGAGATCAAAAGGAACATTTTGAATATTTCTTTCATCTGAAATACTCTGAAATATTTTATTAGAATTTCATCAGAATCTCATCATTTTAAGTATTTTATTGCTAACAGCTTTGTCCACCATTTTTGTCATGTTTGAAAAGGGGCAGTTTGTGCAGCAGTCGTGGGCTGGCAGTTAGGGAACCAGCCTTGTAACCAGAAGGTTGCTGGTTCGATCCCCTCGGCTGACAGTATGTGACTGAAGTGCCCTTGAGCAAGGCACCTAACCCCCAACTGCTCCCCGGGCACCGTGGATAGGGCTGCCCACCGCTCTGGGCAAGTGTGCTCACTGCCCCCTAGTGTGTGTGTTCACTAGTGTGCATGTATGTGAGTGTTTCACTGCACGGATGGGTTAAATGCGAAGGTCTAATTCCTCTGTGTGCAAACACAATTGGCTAATGGTTCGTGATCTAATGTGTTCAATTCATCAGATCACACTGATTTATGTGCTCACTTGGTTCAACACTTCACTTAAGCTAACAAAGTAATAGAACAGCCCTAAAGATGGTGATGAGGATCGCCTGAGGGGAAAAGCAGGGGCCAAGTTGATGAGCATGATATGAAATGGGTGCTGTATAACGCAGGTTACTCTTTCTTTCCTTTCCACACATACTTACCGTTAGTCTTTTCTGAATATGGATTCCGGTTTAGTGATGGAATTGGAGTGACGGTCACGTTTGAAGAATGAAGACCAGGAATCATTTTGAGGAAAAGGAACACAAAGAGAGCATCAATAGTTATACTGCACTACAAATGAATGTAGCAGTGACAGTAGAGTCAAACTCAAATCTCACTCATACTGTTAAACCTATTAAAGACATTTAACACATTTAAAGCTACTAACACCCAAAAAAATCTTGAAACTCAAATTAAATGTGCATAAAAAATAAAAACAACAAAATGATTTGTGTTTATTTCAAATAAGGAAATAAGCACTAGGCCTAATAACAAGTAAAACAAAGACGAAATATTCAATATTCAGCACTTTTTTGGTCATTGTTTTAATTTAATCAAATTTGGGAGCTTGACCATGTCAAGGCCTTTGTGAAAAAGGTCAGATTTTTTTAGCCTTACATTTTCCACTGAAGTTCGTGTACAGACGACTCTCAGTTGCATCTGATCTGCTCATCAGAGGCTTTTGCATAAACTTGTGGAGTTCAAATACTAAAAAATTCTGAAATTCATGTTCAAAATTGGTAAAATTCCATATATATATATATATATATATATATATATATCGCTGTTGTTGGAAGAAAACCTTGTGTCTCCATTCATCATGAAATTCATCATGAAATTTACACACCATGTAAAGGACAACAGACATTTTCAAATTATGTCAAAAACTGAAAAACAAGGTTTTGTTCTGACAGCTGTGATATATATATATATATATATATATATATATATATATATATATATATATATGTATATATATGTGTGTGTGTGTGTGTGTGTATTATACGGGCCATGATTCAGAGAAGATGCTGCCAGTACTGACCTCTACACACTCCCTCATTGTAGCGTCCACTTCTCAGACACTCCAGCCCCTCGTCACATGTCCCAGAATTGTCGAACGGACCTCCACAAATCTCATCCTTCTGTTTGGCGCACTCGTAGCAGCATATGCAGGGCTCCAGCACTTTTCCCCCTGCACACTGCAGCACTTCTGGACATCTTACCATGTAACAGGGCAAACAGGACAGTGTCCAGCCACTCTCCACCACCAACAGCAGCACAACCTGAGAGATCAGCACCCGTCTCAGACACATCATGTCCAGCAGCAGCCTGTACAGCAGCCTCGATCCCTGAATCTAAACCTGAGGAACGACTGAAGGATGTCTGCTCTGCTTCTTTTCAAAGTTTGTGTCAAACTCTACCCCTCTAGAAATCAGCCAACCCACACGCAAGATGCTCTGAGATTTCTGTGGTCTGTCTCAACTCGTCCTGACTCGTCCACTTACGTATCGGCCTGAGCAGATGTTTAAAGTCGTAAACACTTCAGAGGAGTGAAATACATGTTATCCTAGAAAACATTGACTTGATTTGTGAGATATTTTCTCATGTATGAAAACTTCGCGCATCATCCATAGTCACTGTTGTCCGCTGTTAAAGACTAAGTTATATAGTTTCTACCGGTTAATAACTTATTGTTATTGTTATAAACTTATTGTTTATTGTCCTGTATTTGCTGTTATATAATTAATTGACATGACAAACATACTGTTGTATTTTTTTATATACTCTTTTCAGCTCATCCTTATGTCTGCTGCTGTTTTGTGTTGACCCCTTACATGGCCAGGGCCCGCCGGTGCGCCAAAAGTGTTATTACACGCTTCTATAACATAAGAATAGCTTACTCAGTTTGCATTGATGTCCCTTTAGTTACTGAAAAATAAGCCTGATCATGTAACATGTATGTAAAGCCTGGGATGTTAAGGGGTTAAGTGAAGCTCCATGACTGCAGGGGAACACCTGGTTGTGATGTAAAGAATGGCAATAAAGCTTGACTTGACTTGAAATCTTGTAATGCTGGGGATGGGGGTATTGTCAACCTAGCCAAGACCACTGATATCAGAATAGCAGGCCACCAGACCCCAAGTAAACAGTACAAGCCTGATTGCTTGACCTATGGCCTTAAGCTCTTAACCCAGTTGACCTTTTGCAAAAATATGATTGATAGGCCTCTCGGCCAATCACAGTTGTCTCTAAACATTCCTTTTTCTCTTAAGTGAAAGAAAAACTACAGCGGAACTCCTCAACACAAACCTGCAGTGAGAACGGCAGCAGCAGTAAATTTGAGTAATCAGACTAAGAAATGGTGAATGTGATGATCACCATGGCTCCACTTATAAGAGCGAAGCTGTGGCTAGTCTAATCACTATTTGAATCTGCTGAATGACATAAATGTAAATGTAAAGTAAGATCAGCATCACAAACAGCCTGAGCACTGATGGAGCTGCTCTTATTGGTCTGAATGCAGTTGACTTGTATACTTGAACAGAGTCACCCACTAGGTTTTGGACTGACCCTGTAGAAAAGCTTAAGACTCAGGGCTTTGTTCCTGGCTGTGTTATTTTTCCATTTTTCATTTAGACATATATTACACTTGGAAAAAAAATTAGGGTTACAATTTATTTATATTTTAAAATAAAACAATTAGTTATTTTAATAATTACACCATCTTGACCCATCAATTTAGCAAAATTGGTTTATAAATGAATTATCTAGAATTCCAAGCACCACAGAAGAGCTCATCCCCACAGTCATGTGTAAAGGCTGAGGCCATATTTTGAGCAAAAAAAAATGTTTTTTTGCAATTTTAACTGCAATAATCTATAAATAAATATGAAATATATAATTTAAATGACATAAAGAAAACAAAGGCCAAATAAATATTGTAAAATATTTAATGAAAGATGTGGTCCCCTGGAGTTGTGGTGTCACTGGTGTTACTGCGCAACAAAAAATCTCTTATTTTGAAATAAAAATCACACTGATGACATCACTTGACTTCCTTTTACCTGTTTTCTGAGGATCTGTGAAGAAGAGCACACAGTAAGTCCACTGTGTCTTTCAGTTATCAGAATTTTTCTCATTTAGCTCATGATTTCATATGAAGCTTTCAGTTGAAGTCACTGGTGTCACCTGCTTAGGTAATTGTGAAAAAATAGAACACACATGGATTAAATTACATATTTTAGTGGAGATTCCATGATAGACGACATGTGGTTTGATGCTCTGTAGCAGCCGTTTTGTAAAATGCATTTTTCATTAAAAATGTGGAAAAGTGGACGCTTCTGTAGAACGACCCTATTACATAAATACGTGAAATATCCAAAATTTAAATGTCCCCAGGAGCTCGGCCTTTAAACCTACCTATTTGCTTGAACTAAACACCTGGTATCCTTTCTTTGCTGCAAGCTGATTAAGACTTAAACTGCTGAGCTGACGTTTGGTGGTTATATTGGTTGAACTGCAGCTGAAATGCAGTTCAGGCTAATATTAACAAAAAATGTAAATACCTTTGCGGGCCACATAGGATTGTGTCGCAAGCCTGATCTGGCCCGCAGGCCTTGTGTTTGACACATGGGCACTACAGGTTATGTGTAAATTTTAAGTTATAACTTACAGCTGTGTTGAAACTATGTGACTTTGTGCAACCGGTTAAATTCTAGTAGCTCGTAAACCTGAACAGAGGTGGCAGCTTATGTTCAAATGACTTACGTTCTTATGTCATTTTAGTGCAAAACTCTTTAATCCCTTGGTGATTTATGTATTTTGTGTTTTTTAAAAAAGCAGAAAGTGAGACACCAAACTGCCAATCGGAGCTTTGATATCAGAAAGTCTATTTCGCACAGCGTTATAGAGGACAATACAATAGTAGCCCACTTATTGGCCCGTATTCGGACAGTGATACAGTAGATACATTCAGTAAAAGTATATGTGAATACATTTGCAGGTTTATTAAAGAATATATGATGTGTTTTAACCAATATGTAGACTAATAAACTAACAATTTGAGAATCCTCTATAGCAGTGATTCCCACTCCTGGTCCTGAAGGACCCCCTGCCCCGCACACTTTAACCCTTAGGGCCCGGAGACGGTAGGCTACTTCTAGTCTTCATAACTTCAGAACGGTTTAAGCTACAGACATGATCCACATATCATGATATACGTCATCGAGCTGTGACGTCAGTATCAGTGAGTAATTCGGTACGGAAAATCACCCAAAATCCTGAGCTCTGCTTTTTGACCTTCATATTCCAACAAAGGGTTAAAACAGCGACATGATTCACACATCAGATCACTCATCAGACTCTGCCCTTACAATCCAGAGTGAATTCAACCACCTTTGACCATCCATCAGCCAGAGATCCAGAAAAAGGCGATAAAACTGCAGTGCACTTCCCCTCTTTCCCTCAAAATCACACAAACAGGCCCTAAAACACATTTTGACAGATAAATAACAATAAATATGACAAATATGATTATAAAATGAATAATATTTAGCTCAGTCTTTCAGTTTACATTGTTTTTGAGTATTAAAAATATCTGATATTAAATATGCACCTCAATTTGTAATTAAAAATAAAGCCTGTCTTGCTGTGTATCAGAGTTTTAGCACTCAGCATGAATCCAAGAGGACAGAAAATCAATTAAAAAACATGCCCCCCTTATGCTAATTGTTTATTTTTACTAATAATAACTAAAAGAATGAATCACCATCAGAATGATTGCAGTTTCAGCTCACAGACACTCCAGACTAACAATTTCTGAAAAGATAACAACAACTGCACTTGTTTTCAAGATCTCTATAATTAAAAAAATACAAAATTTAGCAGGCGCTGGGTACATTTTTGATCAAAAATGACTCAAATTTTTAAAGATATCAAATTTCTGTTGCCATTTACATGTCAAACGATGGCATATCTGAGTAGCTCAGGGTCTCCTGAAAATAACAACATATGGCATGTGTGACTGTCTCATGTAAATACTTTATAATTGTAATTGCAATTGACCCAAAATGCCAAAAATAGGGTTCTAAGGGTTAATGTTCTCCTGCCAAAAAACATCCACTTCAACTCAGCAAGGCCTTGTTAATGAGCGGATTTGTTGGATCAGGTGTGTTGGGAGCAGCAAGAACACTAAAATGTGAGGGGCTAGTAGATCCCCCAGAACCAGGACTGGAGCCACTGCTTTATGGATTGTCCACTTAAACTGTTAAACAATCTGATGAATGTCATTCCCTACAACATCACACTTAGGCTTAGGATCGTGTTTAATTTTGGGGGGGAAGTTAGTTTCAGCATTAGGTTTAGGTTTTGATTTCAAAGAATCTGTTACATTAAACTCAAAGTCCAGTTACATATACTGGGTATGTAGTTAATGCTAGACAAGGTCTAATCTACAGAAGATCTATAGTGGACTATTGACCAATAGAAGGACAAGTGCTCATATGGAGAGAATCTTTAGTAATAATCGAATTCCTCTTCATCTTCTTCCCATTGTGTCGGCTCTCCTCAGGTCATGGTTTCCCTCTTCTGCGCATCAGCCAGGCCTTCAGCCACACCATGAACTCTTTATAACACACAAGTTCACACACAGTAAGCACATTCTGACTAATAATTCAGGATTATGAAGTCTTTTCTGTGATAAACCTGCTAAAACATGAGCAAATTAGACAAAGCATTTTTTCTATTTTGATGCCAGTTGGTTCTTTTGGCTGCTTTAAAGCAGCAGTTTGGTGGAAATCAGATTCAGCCATGCAAAGATAAGTGTGTCATATAGTCTACAAGAAACCACGTAAGCGTGCCTATCAGAGATTACTGCACCATCACACTCACTGCAAACTCACCATTATCATCTGTCAGTTGTTTTTCTGAATTTGTAATCCGGATGATGATGGTGAAATCAGCATGATAGGCACATTTGAAGAACAACGCCCAAAAAATACAAAAAGAGAAAAAAGTTATTGCACAACGAATTGAGCATCCTGTCACGTTCTTACTAACTGTGTGTATAGGAGACAGTAAGAAGTTCACCTCTATCATTCCTGTTTGTATTTTTTATACTCCTTATCATTCAGTTGTTGGTCTTAAAAGGAAATTACACTAACTGTTCAAAATGTCTGTATAATGAAACCATTAGAATGTAAACAGAGTCATTTAGAGCAGTTTGATGTAAAATGGTTCATTGTAGAGACTTTCTTTACAGTGGTGGTGATAGGAACCAGGGGTCACCATGACTAGGACAAAAATATAGCCATTTTATTTTCTATCCAAACCACCAGTGAACAAATATGTGTCTTCTGAGTGTTTATATGTAATGTTGATGATGGTAAAATATTCATAAATCTAAAAAAATGTGTTTTCTTTGGAAACTATTTTGCCTCATAACATGTTTTAGGCATTTTAGGCCAAAACCTGCTCAAAGCTATCATAAATCATACATCAACTATCAGTGTCCCAGGAATCGGCCCATTTCTTGTAACTTTCTATGAGGGAGCTTTCATTAAACTCTTCAGACGTCTGGTTCCCATCACCACCACTGTGAACAATTCTGACTCTGTAAGTTTCTCATGCCACACTAAAGCACTCTGAACGGCCCTGTTTACATTCTGAAGACTTGATGATACAGAATATTTTAGTTATCTGTGGAATTCACCTTTTAGGCTTATTAACCATTAAACACAATGAATTATACTGTAAATACATCAAACTAATGCGTAAGTTACGTAAGTTATGAGAGTGAGGAACTGAAGTCTGGACGAGCCACTGTCTCTACAGAGCTGTAGACATTAAACAAATACTCTGCCCATACAGACCTTCACACACTCCTATATCGCCTTTGAAGTTTCCTCTGGTCACACACTTTAGCCCCAGGTCGCACTCCCCAGCAATTCTGAACGGGCCTCCGCAACTCTCTTTCTTCTGTTTGGCACACTGGTAGCAGCAGCCACAGGGTCCCAACACTTTCCCACCGGGACACAGCAGCTCTCGGCATTTAAAATCGGAACAGGGTAAACATGAGAGCGCCCAGCTATTCTCCAGCAGCAGCAGCAGCAGCAGCAGCAGCAGAACCTGAGAGATGAGCGTGAGTTTCAGGGAGGACATTGTGGAGGCTCAGTAAACTGAACTGTGCCAGGTTCCTTTTCTGCTCACTGTGACGTTCTGCTATGTGGCCACGCCTGAAACTCTGCCTCTTACTATGCCTGGATGCTTCCAAGACCAGGCTTACTTGCAGAGGTGGGTAGTAACTCTTTCCATCCATTCCATCTAATTCCATCCATTCATTTTCAAATTGTTTGTATCCTCAAATACATAGTTATTAACATTTGTGATAGATCTGTATTTATTTATTTACCTTTTGCATGTCTACTGGCGTTTGTTTTGTTTTAGAGATGCACTGATAGGAATTGCAGACTGATGCTCAGATCCAATATTTTTCACACAAACATCTGTACAAATCTGAACATTGGTCATATCTGTCCAATGCCAATATTTGTTTGTCATGTGCTGATCTTTCATGCGGGGTCCCACAAGCGTCCATCCTTGGTCCTATTTTGTTTCCGTTTAAATGCTCCCCTTGGGAAATTTTAAGATATCGTTTTTACACTAACAATACACAGCTTTATCTCTCTGTAAAGAGGAATGATTTCAGTAGATTAGAAAGTCTTTCTGAATGTATTCAAGTTGTTAAGGATTGGATGGCCTGTGATTTCCTTAAAGTAAATAAGGGGAAATACAGACATACTGGTTCTGGGCCCTCAAAATGTCGCTAGCAACTTAAAGAAGGAGCTTGGTTCACTGGCCGCAAGGATGCTTCGTTATGCTAGAAATTTGGGCATCATTTTGGATTCAGAACTAAATTTCTCAGCGCATGTAACAAAGCTAGTACAGGCTTATTACTTTAAATTGAGGGATTTTACATATACATTTATGGCATTTGGTAGATGCTGTTATCCAGAGAGACTTACAACTTGATCATTTTGTCTGTTTTTTTTTAACACAGGTAGTGTTAGGAGTCTTGCCCAAGGACTCTTATCGGTACAGTGTAGGGTGCTTACCCAGGCGGGGGAATCGAACCCCTGTCTGCAGCATAGAAGGCAGAGGTGTTACCCACTACACCAACCTTCTTTGTCTTTCTGCTGTGAAGCACTTTGTAGCCTGACTTAGAAAAGTGCTGTGTAAATAAATAAATATTTGTAAA